TGAAGCTAAAAAATCTGATTGGTTAGGGTTAGGGTGATCTGCAAAATTTAGCTAATCAGATTTTTTAGCTTCAACATTAGCCAAACTTCAGCATCAGCCGTAACATTTATTATTATTATTACTCGGGTCCTTTGCGGGACCTCTGTTAAATCGCAAAAATGTGAATAAAAAAAACAAATCGTATCTAATAATCAAAAATTTAACAGATGCCCCACTTACGCGGGGCATCTGTTAAATTTTTTTATTTGAAAAAATGACCGTAACCGACAATCGCCCTTTAGTATTAAAGGGACATCGTTGAACCCTGTTATTCGAGGTCTTACTTTGTTCTTCAATGAATAAGTTGTTATTATAAATGAAAGCCGGGTTGAAAGTTCGATAATTTCTTCAATTAATAAATTATCGCCATTTATTTCATCGAGCTGTATATTGTTGGATTCGAAAATAGGATCGAACGAATCAGAAAATCCTTCATCGAATTGTTGAGAACTAGAGACTTAATTCGCAAAGAGTTGTTCTGCATTAATATTAGATTCAGATAATAAAGAGTGTGTCTCCTGATTAATATCGCTTATATAAATAACTTTATTTTAAAAGATTTCGTTAAAAAAATTTTTTTAAAAATAAATTAATATTTATTTATTATAAGGCCATACAAACTTAATAAATTGGTTCTCATAACCCGGCCAGGTCAAATTTCGCAAAATCCTTACAGTTGTTTTCATTATTCCTGAGACACCTATAAAAAAATTAATCGAAAAATTTTTCGGCCGGTAATTTTTTCGGCATAATAAATTCAATAAAAATTATATTTTTGAATTCGTTTAATTTTAATTTACTGTAATATTGATATAATGTCTACGTCATAAATTAAATATATTTTTGAATTCGTTCAATTTTAATTTACTGTAATATTGATATAATATCTACGTCTAATTTACATCGTTGTTCCAATTTCAAAAATTACCATAATAAATATAATGTCAACATTATTAAAATTTCGTTTGAACGCTTGCCCAGTATGTTTAGTGTGTTTAATTTGTGCAAAAGTTTATGGAAAAGATTGTTCTTGTCAACCAATAAAACTTGACAAGAAA